AAGTGGGTCATACAGTCGGATAACAACCTTTATCAAGCAGGAGTCTTCAAGTACCGCGTCTTGGTCTCACAGCCAGTCACTTTAAGTAGGTAAACAAGCCCTATTTAGGCGACATGCAGCAAACATAGAAAGACCATATATTTGGGGAAATTGTGTTTTGAAGCTCGCCGATGCCAAACTCGGATTAACTCGAATGGTGTGCGTTCCTCCGCCGCCCAAGTGGGTTCGTCGCAGGTTCATATGATTTACTTCGGTTCCGGTATGAGAGCGCACGTCTCGTTTATCTCGAACCCCTGTTGAAGTCCTTTCAAACTTTATAGATTCCTTCTTCTAAAATTATGAACCTAAAATTATGCGTAGATAGTGCTGAATGTGTTGTATTTTTGTTTTAATTTTCATGGGACGCAAAAGTTTCCCCCTAAAACACGCAGTATATAGCGTGTCTTTTTCGTGTTTCTTTGGAGTAACCCAAAAGTAATCGAGTGAAGTAACGAAGAAATTAATGAATTGCTTTTCACAAGGAGTAATTTGGAACGGTAATCCATTACTTTTAGGCCTAGTAATTAAAACTGTAATTAATTTTTTTTTAAAGTAAGGTGTGCAATTATAATATACATCAACTCAACAAGTGAAAGAAAATATCCGCTTACTGTATCTATCGTTGAGCATCAGGGATCTACCGCCTAGCAATGGTACAGCTGCAGGTAGCAGACATTAAAACTGAAAGCCAAAGAGTTCGGACTGCCGACCCATCCTCAGCCAAGTGCTCCCGCAGCTCCTTGGAGTTTTAGCCTTCATCAGAGGTCTCATGAAGACGACTTGGGCTTGCCACTCCGAGGATGCCAGGGAAACCTTGGCGTTAAAACTCCTCCTCAACTCATTCTATCCTAGCTTTCTTCCCCCCCAAAAAATTGATCAGTTGGCATTTTGGATCATGTCAAGGACAATTGGGTTACATTTCTTCACGTGGTTCGCTCGCTCGCTGAAAAGCGAATGTGACAATTTATTGTGGTCCGAAATAGGCCATTGAGTCACTTCGAAACCATAAATTTTCTATAACAAAAACGAATCTAAAAAAAATAATGCGTTTGTCCGTTTTTTTAAGCAGTTTTTTGCGATAACTGTAGTCCTGAATTCGTAAATAGGAACCTACGATGGGTCAAATTTTTGAAGAAGTAAAAAAAGCGGAGACGGCGGACGAAGAAAGGACGAACACAAAACGTCTCAAGAAAGACGTTTTGTGTTTGTCCCCTTCCTCGTCCGTTGTCTCCGGTGTTTTCAAATATATGTAACATCAGTTGTTAAAGTGGTTAGCTGGGCGAGTTGGTAAACGTTGAACATTATGAAAAATATCGCACAAAAATACACGAAAAAAAAAGAGGAAGGAACACAGAACACGGATGGGCGCGTACTCACAACTCTGGTATATTAGGTAGAAAAAGGAAAGATGAAGCAAGAACATCTGACTGACTGAACTGTATTCCCCCTGGTGTCATGAATTCATCTTTCCTTTCTTCACCTAATATACCACAGTTGAGAGTACGCGCCTGTCTGTGTTGTGTTCTTTCCTCAGTTGCCCTTGTATTTTCGTGCGCGATTTTTCATCGTGTGTAATATCAACCAGCTTTCCGGTTTACTTACTCTTTGTACGATGGGTGTTCTCTAAGTTGTGCCTCCTAGGCTGTATCTTTTTCATTCGGTGATGGGGTTGAAAGATGTTACATTCAATCGAAAGTTTGGAATCATTTCTTTCCCAGGGGCACATAAATTTGCCGCCAGCGGTGATGCACTTCCGCCAGCGGTCTCTGCGTGCCGTCGGTGAAGAATGAGCTTTTGGCGAGACCGACGCCGCGCTTGAGGAGCTGCGGTCCTAAGATGTTTTGCCCCGCGCACGTCAGAGGCTGCAGCTCGCGCCATCAGTTTCGGCTGCTTCCTAAGATAAAGGAACCATTGAAAAGTACGCGGTTCGCGTCCGACCTCGAGCTCACCAATGCATTGCGCCGTTGGTGTTGTCAACAGCCGCCCTCCTTCGTCTACGGCGGCACGCAGAGACTAGTGCACCGGTAGTGCATCGCCGCTGCTCGAGACTATGTGGAAACGTCCTGGGAAAGACGAGATTCCGAACTTTCAATAGAATGTAACATTTTCCACTTTCATCACCGAATAATAAGGTTACAGCAAAACTTGGAACATCCCTCGTGTATTAGAAACCCGAGAACAGTATATGATGATGTATATGATGTTTTGTGCCAACGGGGCGCCTGATATTCTCGCCTTAGTGGCTCGTGATCGGACTGCTGCGTGGTAGAAAGTAGCGTCGTTTACCCTAATCCGTCTTCCAAGGAGTCGCCACGCAGTCGCCAGCTCATTTGCGGGCGCACACTTTGGGACGTGTTTTTTCGATGCGCCTGCTGCGTGGCTTGACGCAGAACCTTCCTCGTGTTCTCTGGTGTCCTTTGACGCACCTCTCGATTTTCCCTACCGACGCACTTACGGCCGCGTCTTTAAGCCCGCCTTCCCCTCCAATGGCTGCCGTCTCGCTGCTTCCAGGCACAACGGCGGCCCGTCGTGACAAAAGCCCCTTGCGCAGTAGGCGGCGCAGAACCGAACTTAGAGCTACGTTGAAGACCCCGAGATGAACTAAATTTGTTCTCGGTTGTTCTCTGAGCGTGTTCACCGCCTTCGGTAGCTAACACGTGGAGACCATCACTTGTTCCTTTATTTTATTATTATTGTTCTAGTTTTCTTCACCGTGGAAAGCCGTAAGATTTCTCCAAGGACACTTTTTAAATGAGCTTTGTGTATCAGCTTTTTTAAGTATGTACCCTAGAAACCAAAAGGCCTGAGCGCGGTTTTTTTCCCATTGTTATGATAAAGATGAAAACAAACGATTTAGAAAACGTGTACACTGATTATGTGAGAAACATTAAAGTAACGGCGCATTTCCAACAAATTATGCTTGATATTTTAACGTAGCGCGCTCTTAAAAATGCCTCCCAACGAGGAAGAAGCCCGTTGGCAGCAGAATCACAAATATGGGAACAACACATACGAGTGGCGGCACGAAACAAATAGGTTTGGAAGACGTTTGCTTCGTCCCGTTTTTCCTGAATGTACTCTTACGGCAAGTGTAACTAAATAAAAAAAGTTTACATTACTGGAAAGAAAAAGTATTGCTTCTTTTGTGGGAGTCTTATTTTAATTCTCGATATCATATGACGTGAGGCCCCAAAGTAGTCATATAAACCAATCAAATCTAAACATGTCACTGGCAAAACTGTGAGTTACAAAAAGCATAGAGGACGAGGTATCTTCTCCTTAAAATCGTCTGACCCCCCCCCCCCCCCCCCCCCCCCCGGTGTTGCGTTCACCCTCGACCTTTCCTTTTCAATATGGGCTATGTGGCCTCCAGACTCAAATGAGTTTGAGACCATTGCTCTATGCAATGCCAAATCTGCGGCAGAACAGCTCTTGTAGCTCGTGCATCGTGATATCCAAGCTCTGACTTCCGTTATTAATGCGAAAGCATGAACTGTCCCATGGAGCGAGTCGACATCATCAGCTTTGAAGCCCCGCCAAACGGCTCCTTAAATCCTTTCTCCAAGTGAAGCCAGCTCCCACATATGAAACCACGCGAAAAGCCTAGCCAAGCGGCACCTAGTTTCCCCGATCCCAAAGAAGCGGAGTAAAGCTGATGGATTTCGGATTCGGTCCTATTGGCTGGCGCGCGTCGACGAGGCTCCCATTGGCCGTTGCGCGTCAGTTCTAACATCCGCCACCCCATGGCGCGGCGTGTCCGTCAGCGCGAACACGAAACGTCCAAGGTCAGAGCTGCGAGCAGAGGACGCGCTCTGGCCGTCGACGCAAAAACGCTGCAGACGAAATAAGGGAGCGGAAGAATGACGTGCATGGGCTTTCGGATTTGCAACTCACAAGAAGTGCTGGTGTACCTCGAGCCTTTTGGTTATTGAGATAAAAATGCTGGCATTACCGCGAAAAAAAAAAAAAAAAAAAGCCGTTTAAAACTCCCTGTGACGCCGAATTGGAGCGCAGCTATTGAGGAGGAGGAGGGAAGGGTACTGAGGGGAGGGTCGACCCCTCCTCCTCCGTCGTGATCCTGCCTCCTAATCCTGAACGAAAGGGCTCCGGTTCGAAGCCGGCCGAGGTACAAGAGATAAGTCTTTTAAAATCATTTTTCGGAGTAATGAAAATTCGGATTCGTCCCCCCTGCTCATCCTCCCTGCTCCCCTCCTTTCTCCTTCTCCCCTCACGGGGGTCACGTGATCTCGGGCCCGGGGGGGGGGGGGGGGGGGAGGAGAGGGGAGGGGGTTACGTGACCCCTGAGCCTGGGGGTGTCACGTGACCTGGGGGGGTCACCTGACCTGGGGGGGGAGGTCACGTGGCCTCACGGTAACGCCGACGGTAACGCCGACGGCGACGCCGCTCAAGCCAGAAACGGGCGCCTAAGAGGTGCGCTCAAAAAACATCAACGTGATTTGCACCGGGAATTTGATAAAACTACAACGTGCGCCCTGTTTTTTCCAGTTTTTTTTTTTTTTTTCTGATAGTGTGAATGAGAAGGAAAGGCTGGGTAGAACACCACAAAGTCCACACTCCGACGGCTATTCCTGCAGCAGCTGTCATAGACCCGGCTTTCTATTTCCGAACTCCGATACACACCGTTCTATATCAAACTACCGTTTGCTCGCCCTTGAGTACTGCCGAATAACCGCATACTACTTCGTCGAGGTCGTTATACTACACGCTCTTCGCGCCTCGGCTCTGCTTTTGTTTACGCGGCATTCGCTGTCGGAAATCGCTCTCCAAATGACGCCGCCTTCCTCCGCGTTGTCAAGGGCAGCGGCGGTATCCGGAGCGACAAACGAGCTGGTCTGGCGTTGGCCGTTTCCCGTCTGCGTTGCCGCCTTCATCGCGTCGTCTCTGCGGTTTCCCGACGCGGACCCCTTTGCCCTAACTAACACGACCGATTTCGCCCGCAGGTCTCCGAGGACGCCATGCCCTGGTAGACGTGGCTGACGGACGCTGCCACGGCCATGCCTCGGTTACGGACGACGCTCTCGCTGTCCGCCGTGTTCCTGGCGCTGGTGCCGTGCCCGTCGTCTTCGAGCCCGTTGACGCCGGCGTGTGGAGAGACGCGCGAGGGCGCCGAGAAGGGCATTGTGCGGCCACCCCAGTTCCCCGCCGGTACGGACGTGGTCAACTGCAGCTGGTTCTTCAGGGCCGCTCCGGGTTTCAAGCTCCTGGTGCGTGTGGACAACGCCGAGTTCGCATCGGCCCAGCTGCGCGCGTCCGTCCTGCGGCTCAGCGTGGACGGCCAGGTGCTGGAGATAAGCCGCAACTGCGTCGACTGCCTCGAATCCCTCGTTGCCGGGCGGGAACTCCTGGTGCAGTTCGTGTCCACTAAAGCGGCCGACGCGTCGAAGGACGGCGGCACGGGATCCTTTCAGATACGCTACAAGGCGTTCAATCCCGGCCAGTGCGAGCGACCCCGGAGCCCCAACCAGGGCTACGTGTTCGGCAGGGATTGGCGGCTGGGCCGCGAAGTGAGTTACCACTGCAACCCGCCGTACGACCTCCTGGGCAGTTCTTCGGCGCGCTGCATCGTCCCGGAGCAGCGGTTCGTTCCGGAATGGAGCAGCCTGCCCCCTCGCTGCGCGCTCAGCGACTGCCGCAAGGGACCCGTCCACAGGACCGCGGGTGCGGGGGCCATCGCCAGTCCCGGCTTCGCGGAGCAGCGGCTGCCGGCCAACCGCAAGTGCCAGTGGGAGATCCAAGCCGAGGCCGGGCACCAGGTGAAGGCGGCCTTCACGAGGCTGCGGCTGCCCGAGCACCGCCTCGGCGGGGAGGCACCACACCTGTACCTCTTCGATGGTGACGAGAACACGCCGCTGGCCAATCTTAGTGCCGTCCAGATTGAGGAGGGCGAGAGCCCGCTGAACGTCACCACCGTCTCCAGCAAGCTGCTCGTGGTCCTGCTCACCGGCACCAGGCTCGAGGAAGACGCTGTTATGTACATGGAGTACGCCGCCAATCCGAGCACGTGCCCCGACCCGGGCCGGCCCGACAACGGGGAGCTGGTGGCGTATAGCCTGGCCGTCGGCTCCAGCGTGGGCTTCCGCTGCAGGCCCGGCTACGTGCTGGACGGGGACTCCCGCGCCGAGTGCCTGCCAACGGGCACCTGGAGCGCGTCCAGGCCCAAGTGCCTGCTGGAGGCGGGCCACGGAGACCACCAAGACGTGGCCGTGGACGTGCACGTCGAGGACGTGGGCCAGGAAGACCTCATCGGTATCCTGGGCGGCACGCCGGCGCCCTTGGGCGGACCGCGGGGTCTTACGCCGCCTCCCGTGGAGGTGACGACGACGTCGGCCCCTCCTCGGGATGTGCCTGAAGTGGCCCAGGCGAAGCCGTCCAGGGCTAAGCACACGCCCGTGTTGAAGGCGTCTTGGTCGACTACGACGACGACGTCGACGACGGCTTCGCCTACACCACCAAGGGCACCTGCGGAGTCGTCCGAAGAGGCTCTTGACCCGGTGGCTCACGTGTCCGGTCTCAAGCCTGCGCTGAAAGAAGAGAGGGTGAGTGAATTCTTGTCGTCTCGGACCTCGGTGATGGCCAACTAATGTCCATTCCGGAGCCGCGTTTGCATTGTTACGCCAAAGTCATGAGCGCGCATACGTTTCGCGGAGTCGCGACAATGCTTTCTCATTCACACATCCGCTAGGGGTATAGTGGTGCGCGTTCATCGCGGGCAACCGCAAAGGGCGCTCTCCGTTGGTGCCCAAGATGCATACTGAGAGTAAAGTCCGTCGTGTCTTAGAATATTTTTCTTGTGGCTAGGGTGAGTTAGTGAAAACGCAAGACGCTAAAGCGTTACGACAGAGAGGGCAATATCCAGCACCACCACAACAGCAGGTGGCGCGGGTGGCGCCGCACTCCCAGTGGCTCAGCGCTTCCGTCCACACGGGCGGATGCCACTGTCGTACAAGCGGCGCCATCTAGATTACTGATTGCGATCGTGTCGCCATATTGTTAACCGTTCCAGGGAGAACAAAGTGGAGTTGCATCTGCATTGCGCATCGCGGTCAGAAATTGCGATATCGGTCTCGGTACATAAACGATTACACTAAAATTTCCTGTCCGAAAACGTTTTTTTACGTATAACGATTTCGTCAGATATGCCCAAAGTAATGCCGAGTATTTTAACGCAAAATGTGTTATAGGGCTGGTTTTGGTATTTGGAACGTTGTGATACGGAAAGTCGTTAAAGTGTGGTTGAACTTAGCGAGAAAACTGGCCCTGTGAATTGAGTGGTAAAATATGGTCTTTCTATCCTTCTTTCTTTCTTTATTTATTTGTTTTCCTTCGGGCAGGGCCCGAAAGAAGGGCCAGTGCAAAAAGCTAAAAAAGCCTGACGTGGCACTGGTCCCTTGTAGCCCACACATAAAAAAAAATAACATGAAAATGCATTCCATCTAACAAAATAATACAGCAGGATAAAAAAACTTTTAAAGACTCCTACACTGTACCATGAACTGAGGCACACATACATAAGAAAAATGCCACAATAAAAGCCATGTATATGAGGATAAAAATGCGTACTGAATGCAAAAAACAAGAATACAGACTATAATCCACATGAAAGAAAAAACAATTCATCTAAGGAACACACAAATAACAAACGTCATTATCGCTCACTTTACAGAAAACTGAACAGTGTATACCCAACAAGGCGAGTCATGCACATAAAATAAAACAAGGATGAATTTTGAACGTATAAAGTATAATACAACACTTTATTGTGATTAGGAAGCTTAGATATGCTTACGTTTGTTAGTTTTGTCTTAGGTCGTTGGGGGGCAGACACAAACACTTATATGAGTACTCAGCACACCCATGTTGCGCGTAATTCTAGCGTTATATGTAGGTTAATTTGCATGCAGTTTATTGGTTCACTAGACTGTTGCAGGGCCCTTCCAATTACAGAAGGAATGGTTAAAAAAAAACATAAGCGATCAATGATCTGAAAATCACTTAGTTTACCTTGACTCAGGGTGCTGAATAAGTAGAAGACCCCAAATATTTGGGTGGCGCTGTTTTGCTCGAAATAATACAAAGACGCCAGCAATCGAGGAATTCGAAAAATGCAACACTGGTGCTTCCTTTTACCACCCACGTTTCTCGCTTTCCACGCAAAATATCGGCGACTTTCCGACATGGCTGGCTTATCCTCATCAAGTCAACAATCTGCGGGAACGGACAGGTTACTGTGTCAGGGTACGTGTGGATTGCAAAAGGGGGTTGTGACGGTCTGATATACGAGATTTTGAACTGAGCTATCTTTCCAAATATGCCCTTGATCAGCACAATTTTCAAGTCGTATGTTGTGGGCACTCTCGAGTGACCCACAGGCCCTCTTTTGCCCGTGGCCTGTCCCGTTTCTGCCAAGAGTTTGCATCTGTGAAGCCCCTCTAGGGTGAAACGCGTGGTTTCGGCAAAGGCAACCATTGCAGAGGGCCAGTGCTGCGCCACCTGGATACCGCGGCCTTAGTGCTCACACTGGACATGGCGTTCGGCTGCGACCCAATCAGTGAGGACAACGAGCCGCACGCTGATGCTTGGAGACAAAGATCCAAAGGTTTATTTTATAAGTTCTGCGTCGCAACCACTTGCTTGCAGTCTGTGCAACGCACTCGTCCGCAGCAGTTCATGTTGACCATGAAACGCTTCTAACAAGTCGCAGCCACTCCCAGGATGATAAAAATTACGCAAGTTTGTTTAGGAATATTAGTGCAAGGTGTGCAGAAATAAGCGTTACAAAGTCTTAAGAGGTTATCTTAATAGTTATTCGACGTAATGGACGATTCGTACAGTTTCTCTGGCAACACCGCTTTTGGCTTACTCAAGGACAATAAATCATTTCAAGATTCGTCTAGACTGCTCTAAAAGTGGTCTTATTTTTTACAGTCTTTTATTTGAAAATGTGTACCTTCTACCGTTCACTTAACCGTTTTCTGTAATTGGAGTCCACCCAGTTAACTGTTTCGTATTTTCCTTTTTTTTTTCATTTACGTGCTTTCAATTAAAACGTTTGGCCCGTTTTATCACTTTTCTGTTGTACACCTGGCTCGGGGCAGTAGGTAGTGTATTGTTAAAAAAAAAGTCACGAAGGCATGTTTTCAGTTTTTACTGATGAGTACTTATGAGTTCATATTCATCGAGTTCATAAATGATTTACAATTTATTGAATATTGCTTCCCTTCTATGAAAACAAGACATGGAGCTAGCGCAAATAGGTTCATGACGACACGTAAAATTGAATTTTTTTTTACTTGCGTGTAAAGTCACGGGCTTACATCCTATAATATGAGAAGAGTGCGGTGAGCGTATTGTCCTGATGCCAAATTGTCGGCCGAAAACTTTTCTGTGCGAGAAACATTTTGACATGTTTAAAAATTCTTAAAACCTCTCGACTAATTATACCTACTGTGCCGTCGCTACTCCGCTTTCCTCATTAGATGTGAAGGAAAATCTGTTTTGTAGCGAATCTTGTTTTACATCGCTTCCAACTCCTGGCCGCTACCACCGCGGTACTAGGAGGGTCGCGGCCCTATACCTTGTGGCGCGCGTGGAGGTAAGAGGGAATGGAGAGTCTCTCTCCGCTCGTTGGTCAACGTTCCTTCGGGTTTAAATTTTGCTGAACGTTATTGCGCTTTGTTCTCGAACACAGTGCTTTGAGCATGAGGGAGAGAGCGAAGAAACATCTTTAAAGCATCTAGTCCGATGCTCGCGTTTACTACGAATCCTGGCCCAGCACGTTCTTGATGTGCTGTGGCCAGAGGGGGGCGGGAGGGGGCAAGGGGCGTGCGAACACGCGAGCGCCGGCCGATCAGCCCTTTTTAGCACCTCGGAGCGGCACCACGTGAACGGGGAACGCCTACGAAGGCTCGCGGTGCTTGCCTTTGTTTCATGGTTCACGGAAAGATAGCACGGAGGAACCGTCAACTTGTCATTTCCGCTTCGTAGCCCGGTGGCCGTTCTCCTCCTTCGGGGCTCACAACTGCTCTGGCTTTCGGAAGCATTCGCTAATGCGACAGAACTAAGTAGGAAAAAAAAGGGGAGGGGGGGGGGTGGGAATGCATGGCGTCAACAACAAAGTAGTAGTCAGTGCGTATACGTACTAGGACGATTCGAGTGACGGTATGTCGACAATCGGAAAGTAATGCTCGATATTGAAAAAAAATTGAAGCAAGTCCGGTAACCAAGATGGAATCATTGGGCAACCAGCCTAATCGATGGCATCGTATTTCCTGGGGAGGTGGCGAGGACAGAGAGCCGCTATCGAGGCTCCAATGAGTGTCTGGGCCAGCTGCGGCGGGCGCTGTCTGGAAGCGTTCCCTCGTTCTCCCGCACCGCTGCCCCTAATGAAGGGGCGCTGGATCGACCCACACCCGCGGACCAGTTTGTCCCCGAGGCGCGGCGTCTGCTCGTCTCTTCCTCCGTGCTCCAAACTGCGCTGACCCTGCCGCCGCGGCACCGAGAAGCGCTCTCTGATGGCCGCTGCGGGTGGGTCCCCCGGACGAACAGACGCTGCCGGCGCGAGCCCAGGCGGCCCCGTGAGCGGCCTGCCTCGGTAGCGTCCGATCCCGTGGGCGGCCCGACGGGCCTTCCCGGTTCGGCGACCTCCGACCCCGGCCTGCGTTGCGCAGTGGGTCGCGGGGCGTCGCACTGGAGCGGTGACGGAGGGCTCGCTAGGCGGGGGACTGCGCCTGCCTTTTACCCGGGTGCTCCGATCGCGTCGGACTCTGACGAGTTCCCCCCCCCCCCCCCCCCCCCCCCCAGACGTCATGACTAGCTACGCAGTGCTGCCTAGCTCGCGTCAGCATCGTCAACAACGCGTCTCGCAGCGTTTACCAACGACGCTACATGCGGCGACGCCACGACGAACGCGTCTGTCCCTTTGCGGAGTCTTCCGTCGAGCATCAACGTGTTTGGAGCCTGATCGGTGATCCACTAACAGTGGTCCAAACGACCCCGAGAGACGCGCAAGGCCGGCCACCGCCAATAGGGCCGGCGAGGGCCCAAAGACGTTAACTCACTTTTTGTCCGTTATGGCGTTCTTTGTGTGGCTTTTCTTACCGCGATTCTTAAACTTTTTTTTTTGTTTACGAAATGCGAGGCTATAGATAGGCCTTGCGCAAACAACCAAAGAAGCGAGGAAGGTTCCTAGACACCACCATTGCCCGTTTTAGTAAGTATGGTACGTAGGCTCGGTACAGCGGAGAGCTCTCGCTTTGTGGGATGCCAGTATCCAAAGCAGTTGCATAGTTGTCAGCGCACCCCTCCCGCCCCCCTCCCCCTTTTTAGGATCCCCACCGACTACGGACAGGGAAGCAGCACTCGGCGCCAACTATGTTGTGCTCGCGCATTGTTCCGCAGTGCTGGAGCCCCGCACGGCTGCGAGGGCACGTCGCTTCGTCTTCCGCCTCACTCGCACGTGCTCGTAAGCTTTGACGGAGTTCAAGCACTGCGGAAGCTACGCGAGACTTGACAGCATAGTACAAAATAATTGATGCCG